GTTAAATAGTATGTGGCTGTGAACAAGAGACAGCAGAACTTATTTTGGCGCACATCAGACACATTCCTCAGTTCGTTACTGAAAGGTGTTCTGGTGCTAAAGGGGTATGAGAACCCAAGCAGAATTGTCACATAAAAAAACTGATCCTTTACTGATCTGTGAGTGAAATCACAATCCAGAATAATTACATTATGAAAGGCTGGCCAGTGGCAGCCGCTCTTTCCCCTCTAAAGCAATCATGAAAGAGGCATCTTTAAATTTCCTACAGTCCTGAAAAACACCAGGAGGTGTAAGGGCTGGTTACACACGTAAAAAACCGCAAACAGACAGCACTTTATTTTAAGCTCGGTGTGCCCCCACACCAAGCCCAGTGCATGTCCAGAAGAGGCAAGACGTTAGTTTGATCCAGTTTGCTTAACGTCTGTACAGACTGGGTGCTCTGGCAGGGCTTTTTGCTATTAAAGTGCCAAAAAGCCCCAATGAAGCACCTGACCTATACACAGGCTGTGGAGCTGGGTCAAACTAATGCACTACCTCTTCTGGTAAAGCCTGTTTGGGGTTTTTTTTTTCCTGTCTGTCAGCAGCCAAGGTGAATAGCAGTGTCAGTTAAGTTACAAGAGATACATACTCATGATCTAAGGTAGTGAGTGTGGGATGCCCCTGTTACAGAGGTACAGTCAGTTGCTGCAGCAACTTTGGAGAGCATAATAAATTTAGGCCTCAGCCAGATGTTACACTTACAATGTGATTAACCAATTAGTCACACTTTAAATTGTAATCTGGCCACATGTTAAAGCAATTGATGACATTGTAAAACAAAGAATAAACCAAAGTTACTCCACAAAAAAATGTGTAATAACTTTATGGCTGGTTCCTATCGTGCCATTAACTGAATGCGTGGCCAAGTGCACCCCCACATTTGGAAGCCCCATCAGCTGCGGGCTTCCAGCCACCAGGCTGCATGGTGCACCCCAACATCTAGGAGCCCCACTCCCAGCTGCAGGAGCACATGATAGCACAACTATCCCCATTCCAGCTGAGAGGGCTCCCAGCTGCAAGAGCTTACTATTTGTCAGTGCAGGGGGAGCTCAGGATCATGATCCCAGGTTTCCCTGCACCAGCCGTAAGGTGTGATAGGATCTGATGCTCAATCCCACATCACGCTTCTTTCCATGTACATGTAGCATGACAGAAAGCATGATTGTGTGGATTGTATATCAGATCCCATTGCACCTTTACCTGAATGTCTGGCTAGGTTCTTAGCACAGCATCTTTCCATGTCCTAGTTTATCTCAGAAGATGAATTAACCAGATTCTGAATATAGAAATAATACTTTTAAAACATTGTCTGCATTTACTAGTCTCTATTCACTCCTTTGGTTAAAGTGGATCTTGTTAGTGTAGTTATCCATTTGTTTCTTACTTGTAGTGCATTTATTATTTCACATCTTTTATCAAAATGCACATATGCTAAAAGCTCAATGGTTTTAAAACAGTGTCACGGGACAGTGGTAATGCCACAGAAGAAACATCTATTGAAAGTAAATGTTGAGGTTTATTGAAAAACATTGATCCTAAGGAAGTGTTCTACTACCCACACTTCATTTCTATTCTGTCAAATGATGCATATAGATGTAATTATTTTCTCTAATGGATCTTGGTACAATGGAATTAAAGCTGCTTAGTATACTATTATGAAATAGTTTTGTTCTATCACACTAAGGTAACAGCCATCTTGTATGCATCCGCCAATAAAGTGATCAGTCACAAAAATAGGCTGTTTTCTGATTGTTTTGTATTTATTTTTAGTAAGTTAAGTTCAGCCACTAAGCAAATTGGAAAGTTCCAACAGACATCCTTTTCTAATGTAGATGGCATTCAGTGGTTTTGGCTCCAAGCCTGCAATTTGATCCAAGCTGGCAGACCCCTACATCTCCACAGAGCCATGGACTTCAAGGGAATTTATGTGCATGTAAGAGTCCAGGATCAGCACCAATGTAAAGTCAAATGGTAACTTACATATTTAACAATCACTGAGGCAATCTCAAAATATTAATTTGGAAGCCCTTTGATACATAGTTCTTGATCCTGGATTATAATATTGAATTATAATGTATTATATTTAAACTTTAAAAATAATTTTCTACAGAGGCTGCAATGGGGACATACTAAAAACTAAATGCTGAAACCTAAAATCAAAGAACCAGGGGGCAGCTAGAAACTGCTAGATGGCTGATATGAATTACAATAATATAACATCACTGTCTCAAAAAATGATGTCTCTCTTGAAACCCACACATACATGATGACATGCCAAAATGGCATAATCAGTCCTCAGAAAAGCTTCATATTGCTCACCTGTGCAGTTTAAGATAAAGTTGAGTTACTTTCTCTTTCAGTTCATAATTACAAAGACATAAAGAAGTCCAACACCTACTGCTTTTTGTAACAGATTTTTAGCTGGGCAACAGACTTTAAATGAGCAGAGACCAACAATGAATCTTTTTTTTTTCCTTTTCAAATAAAGACATTTTAATTAATTTTTAAAATGGGCTTGGTGAGGTAGGGAGAGTAAATTCCTAACATAAATAAGGCCTTAAAAAAGACAATAAATGAAAGAGATCAGAAGAAAAAAATATTTTCCTTTATTTTTTTCAGTTGAAAATATAACACTTTATTTGTGGTCAGTTTGCTATTCCCAGCTGCACATGAACAAGCAGATGAACTCACTGTTCAGTACCAAATGCAGTTACACTCTAATGGAGTTTTAAAAAAGAAAAGAAAATTCCTTGAGTCAAGCGTTTTAGCGGAAAAGGGAAATGATCATGAAACACAATTCTAAGTCTCATCCTGGGCCTGACTCTTCCCGTAGTTACTTGTCCTTTCCAGAGTTATTCTTTTTTGTTATTGTTATTTTTTCACACTAGCTTGTTTCAGTTCACTTGGTTAGAAGGTTATTCTCACCTATCCTATATTCATGGTGGATTAAAATAAGCCACATCTTCTCTCGTGAGCATATCAGTAATTGACCTGCAGCTGTGTACAGATTCACACCAGCTGACAGAGTGAGAACAGAGACTATAAAAGCAGCCAGTCTGCTTCCCTCTTTATGGGATTTTTGAGGGGAGGGTTTGGGTACTTTTTTTGTTTGCTTGGGTTTGGTGGGGGAGGGTGTTTTCAGAGCCTTTGGCAGAAAGGAAGAGAAGGCAGAAGTAATAGAAACCAACTCCTCAACATCTCATTCACCAGAGGAGGTGAGGTGCTATTATAGGGGAACAGGAACTAATAAGGTGGTCAACACTGAAGGGTTGGACAGAGGCTTAACAATAAAATAGGGGCTGAGAGGCTGTATCAGTTCTTCCACTCTACCTACTTGCTTTCTGAGTCACCCCCTGCTAACAAGTTGAGGCTTTCCCACTCTCACCTAACAACCCTCTTTTTTCCCAGTAAAGCACGAACAACTTCCATTTCACACCAATAAGCTCTTTTTCCATCTCCCTCCTACTTAAAAATTCCCCCTTGTAGCTCCTGAAGCTGCCTCTGGTCCCTACTACAGCATTACACTATAAGTTGTAGGCTTGCAGAGAATAAATTTCTTCCCTTCTAACACTTGCCCCTAGTGCTTGGAGAAGGCTTAAGCAGAAGCTGAGGGTAAAAAGTGAACTGGCACCAAACTTGGCAGCCTAGCATATATACCCACTTCACGTGGACTTATACGCATGATCTCACTAACCAAGTGTGTAAGCTTCAGGTAAGATAACTAATTTGTTCAAATAACATGATTGCATACACAGTTGCTGTAGCTGTGTCCAGGCAAATTCCACTTGCTTCTCCTGCCCATACATGACTGCAAACCTGGGCCTGTCTTTGTTTTTTTTCTCTGTGACTTTTGAGACTGGTGAGATTTTTATGGCAGCACCTGAGCTTTGCACAGTACAGTAATACCATAAATCATTGTCTGTATTCTCTCCATCCTCAGTTGGCCAGGTGGAAGCGGGGCAGGGGAGATCATTGCATTTACAACCTGCTGCAGTAGTTATTATGGGAAAAAGAAAAGAGAAAAAAAGAAAAATGTTACAATCCTGACTGGAACTGGTCTAACAATCACTTCGGTATCTGGAGAAGCTGTGGTACAAACTATGCCCACCTAATTCCAGTCAAATCAGTCTGGCACCTCTGAATAGGAAGGTGTAGTAAATATGATAGTGACTGACTGCTACAAGAAGTAACAGTAACAGCGTTTCTGGTTCAGGCCAGAGGTGTTTCACTATAATTGTTTCTTTATAATATACCTCCAGGTAGTTCTTCCCAAAGTCTGGTTAGCTAACTTTAACACCTTAGTGCCAGAAAGATCAGTAATGTCACATTTAAAATTGCACCTATTTGCAGAACCCTTTGTATGCTAGTTTTAATACTGGTTTGGAGGAGGACCCATTAGAAAAAGTCTGCAGTACAACCTAAGGAGATTTTTTAACTGTGCACTGGCTTCTTTTTATCTGAAACTTCTGTAGATATTTCTCCCTTTACTATCCTTTATGCTATGGTAATGGTGCTGAATGCTGATGAAACTACACTTAATGCAACTTCAGGCAATGCACAACTTCTTATACCAAACTATTCTCTCTGTAGCTAGATAGTGTTATTAGTAGCTTTTAGAAGGTCTTAGGTTGGTGAGCCTCTCAGGATAAAAGATAGCAGAAGAGAATAGTTAATAGGAGCTTGTGACAGGACTTGACAAGGGTTACCAGATGGATATAGTAAGACTGTATTGTCACCTTTTAAAAAGTACCAGAATCAGCTGAAAGCTTTATTAAAGGTTAATATTTATCCATGTCTTTTCTTTTCTTTTCATTTTCCTGGTATGATGTATTGAACATCTATCTAATTTAATCTATCATTTCTCTCACCTTCTATAGCACATCTATCCTGCACTTAGATATAACCTGTACATCTAACCTGTATTTTTAGGTAGCAGTAGACGATCAGAATTACCCACTTACCTCAAGGGGACAAAGGCAGACTGAGCTTCAATATATGGTCATTTCTGTAAACCATTATAGGCCATCAAAGCACCTGACAAGCATAAGTGATATTTCAATTATATGTGAGCAGAGTGTTAAGTTAAAAAGTCAAACATGCTGTAGAAAAAAAATAATGTAGATCACACAGAAAAGAACCATTTTTTGTGTTTGCTTATAAATGTTACTACTTTCTTGTCTGCAGTATGTCTTTCAAAATAAAGAATCAAGTACAAAAGATGCCAAGAACCAAATCAGTTCTGGTTCTGCCCCCAAAAAGAACAGAAATCTTTGATATCTGTGCATAAATGCAGATCTCAATTTTAAGGACCAAGTTGTATCACTTATTAAAACAGTTCATTTCTTTTATATGAAGTGACTTTTCTATGGGCAAAGATTCAAAAATTGTAATGGAAGGTAAGTATTGATAAGAAAATTGTGGTTAATCTACAGAAATAGAAATTGTTTACTCCATATATGGTAATTCCACACATAATGCATAGTTAACATTGGAACAGAAAATTCCACCACTTTTCTTTTACACATTTTGTTCTATGTGATACATTAAAGGAAAGTGTGATAAGTATGAATGGGGTTTAAGCACATGCACCTAAACTTCCTCAAACTTTGTTGTCTTGGTTTGGGCCTAAAAAAATAAACTTGAAATATAATGATTTATCTGGCTTTCTATTCATATGTCCTCAGACCTGGAATGAGAAAAATGCTATTGGTGAAATCCTGGCCCCGCTGAAGTCAATGGGACTTTTGCCATTAGGCTAGAATTTTACCCTTGCAGTCTATGAAGCACATAATTGGCACATACCCACCAGTATCTACACAGAGTGAATCTTCCTTTGACTGCACTGGTCTAAGACATACAGGTATGCAGTTCATGGGCAGATTTCAATCCACATCCCCCACCCCCGCCCTTCGCTATTCCAAAACAGCCTAATTCAATGATCCTGCTATCAAAACCCTATGCCTCTTCTTAGCACCACTATTGTAATCTGCATGGTTTCATGATATCAGCAATTCCCCAGAATTAATCTGTGATGTCTAAGGCCATTATAATTAGATTATAAGAAAATTTTTGAAGCTAAAAGGGAAATGTTGGAACTTTAACCCTTTAAAATCCTCATAGTGCAAACATGCTGATTCTTACTTGTGTGAGTATTCCCACTGAAATCAAAGGGATTACTTAGATTAAGCAAGTGCATAATTGTTTGCAGGATTAAGCCGTATATAAAATAGCCCCAAACAACTCATTTATTACATAGCTTTTATTGAATTATAAAGGGTATTTAGTTCAAACTAGTGGATAATTTATGAAAAATGATAGTTGAGTGTTCTCTGGGGTAACTCTCCCCTGGCTTAGTAATATAGTTTCAGTTGCTTTAAGATCAGACTGCTGGAAACATGTTGCTGCATGATGAGTGCTACAAGAGATACAAAAAAATAATAATAAAAGGAAGTGTACTAAAATCAGAAAGAATCCTGCCTCACATTTAGTTTAGATCATCTATTCATTCCTGGTAGAGCTGCTCTGAGTAACTAAAGTGGGTTTAGAGCACCTCTCTGTGGTATTTTAGTGAGTTGTTACTTTCTACAGACATAGAAAAGTTTTCATGATGTTTTGAAGCAAGTAGTTACAAAAAGTAAAGGAAAAATGTTCAATGAAAAAAACCACATTATAAAATAACAGTATTGAACTATTATTCACAAATAGGATAAACATGAGGTGTTTTTTCTTTTTCCCCAAAAGACAGTTTTTCAGCTAGTTGCTAATGTTGGCTGTGCATTATAATATATTCTAGATATTGAAAGATCCATATTAACAATGTTAATTGCAACATGAAGAGGCTCTTATAAGGCCTTGGAAAATAATAGTAATGGAGATCACCCAGTAGGATGACAGTGGTAACCCAATATGGTTCACAGGCCATGGTAGAATTGTGCTGTTTGCTCTGTTGCTGAATTTGTTTTTCCCACACAAAAATGTGGCTAAATGAAAAAATTACTCAAATACTTTTCCTCACCATGCAATTACTATGAACTAAATTGTGCCCTGGTCCTATGCAGCCATGGAGAGGAGCAAAAGGTAGATAAAGCTGATCCCAAAGGGAAGGGGTGCAGATTTTCCTGTGGTTTGTAAATTACTGTGGGCTTTCCTGATATAGGTACAAATTCCTGTGCAGGTGTAACCAAAGCATCACTAACAATGCCTCTGAGGACTACCTGGGATGCATTATGAACCACTTCCCAGTTAAAAGGCAAATTGAAAGTTGGATCAATCTGATCATATTCTTCCCCCACCCCCCAACCACCATCAGTGGTATTAACTTGTACAAAAAAAAATTCTCCTCCTAACCCCAAAAAGATCAATATAGCAAAAATAAATAAAAGGGATAAAATCCTTTAGTAGTGTCCTTGCACTGAAAGAGCCCCAGGGGGAACTTTCCATTTAATAAATACTAGAGAAGAAATAATGCAAGTTCAATTCTCAGTAGAAGCACTTTTTGTGGTGAAACATTCCCACTGGAAATTCATGTACATTTTAATTTAAATGAGCATTTATCATTTCTAAAGCTTTAAACCCTCATAATTGTCCCCTAACCAGCATTTATGTATAATGCTTTTGTTAGTCTGACAAGCCAATCTTATGATTTTTTTCCCCCTATTATTGCTGAGGCCACTTTTGCAAGGATTATAACAAACGACAAATATGAAAAGATAAGAGATTTTGGTATTTATTCTAAAGCTTAAGTCAGCTTTCCTACTCTTTGAAGTGTAAGCCTCTTTTTGAATTTTATCCAAATACCCAGACAAGTTGTGTGAAAATGTCTTCTGATGCAAAGGTCTGTGAGATGACCATGGAATCCAAAGGGTATCTCCTGTCCATTGGGAACTTTCAGAATTAAAAGGATTCTTGCTTCAGCCTAATGCAGCTGTTTGAAAATTGATTGGTCAGTAAGCCTCTTGCTAATTTCATCAGAATTCGTTTTATTCAGAAACAATACTCCACTCATATTCTTAGCATGACTCCAGCCAAATGAAGCTGAAAAAATGTATCAAATTTATATTCTTTAGGTAACCTGCTACAAAGAAAGAAGAAGCATTCAGCCAAATCCTGTTTGTTCTGCCATAAAGACCATCTCCTGCTTCCCTGGTAATGTAAGTAGGTTACTTTAAGAAGGGCAGCATTTAAGTAGTTATCTTCAATAAGCAAAAGACCACTGGTTTATGTGCTAAAAGACTTTCTTGTTCTTTTCAGCAGTCACTATCTTGTATGCTAAAATATAGTCATTTCCAAGAGCCTATTCTAAATGTAACATAGCATTCACCACATTTCAGATGTATTAGAAAGAGAGTTTGGTGAATCATCACACCAAATTCATTCATTGATGAATCTTGAGTCTTCTTTTCAGGAATTATACACAAGCCAATTACATTTTTTTCTAAAATTGACAATAACTTGAAATATCTGCAGAATGAGATTTGTGAATTACTGTTGGTCTTTAACTCATCTTTAACTCATTAACTCTTTAAACTTAATTATAACAATTCCAAGTTAAAACACTTGGATTAGAGCTCTGTCTGCTCCCTCAGTGAGTGACCATAGCAATTATGTTTGGTCCCTGATGCAAATGTTATTTATATAATAGTGTGTATCCCATTACCCCAAACAGGACGGAGGGCTTGTTGTACTACATGAAGTGCCAGCAACTGCACACGTGTGTGTG